TTTATCACTTGAGTGCTTTTAGAGATAAAGTCAGCTTCTGCTTCTTGACCGGGAGGCATTGCGGGTATGTGTGTTGGGGAAAGACAGATCTAAGCTCTCCCCACTGAGGGGAAGAGTGGATTGCACAAGTGGGGTTGGATGGCTACATTGAGATTGCCCCACCTTTAATCAGTTTGCCAGTGGGGAAGCCCCCTGTCTACAAAAAAGGCAAGAAAGAAAGACTTCATTCCCCCACTCACCTTCTCTTTCTTTTCCAGCTGAAGACTCGGCTTTGGAGGTTTTCAAAGCAGACGGTGCGTCTCGCTTGGACGGGCAGGGAGAAGTTACATTCTGCAGATCACTGTCAGAGGTCCTGAGGACGCCGACCTACCTGGCTTGCATTCCCCTTGCTGAATGGCATGTGCTGCCGCCGCCCACTGAGAGCTCCTTTGGGATTTTGACTTGTGAGTAGGACACGAGGCTGGGAAGATGCTGAGTTCCATCAAGTGTGTGTTGGTGGGCGACTCTGCTGTCGGGAAAACCTCTCTGTTGGTGCGCTTCACCTCCGAGACCTTCCCAGAGGCCTACAAACCCACAGTGTATGAGAACACAGGGGTGGACGTCTTCATGGATGGTATCCAGATCAGCCTGGGCCTCTGGGACACAGCGGGCAATGACGCCTTCAGAAGCATCCGACCCCTGTCCTACCAGCAGGCAGACGTGGTGCTGATGTGCTACTCTGTGGCCAACCATAACTCGTTCCTGAACTTGAAGAACAAGTGGATTGGTGAAATCAGGAGCAACTTGCCCTGCACCCCTGTGCTGGTGGTGGCCACCCAGACTGACCAGCGGGAGATGGGGCCCCACAGGGCCTCCTGCATCAATGCCATAGACGGAAAGAGACTGGCCCAGGACGTCAGAGCCAAGGGCTACCTGGAGTGCTCAGCCCTTAGCAACCGGGGGGTGCAGCAGGTGTTTGAGTGTGCTGTCCGAACTGCCGTCAACCAGGCCAGAAGGCGAAACAGAAGGAGACTCTTCTCCATCAATGAGTGCAAGATCTTCTAAACGCCAAGAGACTTCACACAACACTTACGTATGCGCCCCAGAGACTAATGGGGAGCGGGGGAAGCCAGGAAAACTTAGTGTTTTCTCTGGGTACACCCCAAGCAGCGTCTCCTTTTGGATACAGTTATTGACAAGACTTGGCCACTGGATGTTTTCACTAACCATACTCTACAAGTGAACTCCTTGCCTGGGCCAGTTTGAAAATCCCTTGGGAAGCTGCAATGAATATTCCATCTTTGATTAAAAAAGTGACATAGTCTCCACAATTTTGGACAACGAAGTGAGTTTTTCAAAGAATTCCATATTTAAAGACACATTTTATTTAATAACACAATGTATTGCTTTTGTATATAATTAGTTTTCACACTTGGAAAATCTTTTCCTACATCCTCGAAAACATAAACTGCTCTGTGAATGAAATAACCGTACGAAGCTCTTTATACGTTTGTAGTGTTATTATTTTCACCTCAAGTAGAAAGTCTGTTGAAACCACTTGGCTGCTGGATTTAAATGGGTAATCAAATTTAAAAACGACCATAAATGAATCTTTGCAATTTATCTTCTACCTACCTATTATTCAGAGTTGGATATAAAATACAGTTCCATAAAATATCCTAATACTGCCTAATCATTTTAAAGGTATCACTATATTTTTCTGAAATGATAAAACATCATTTATTTATGATAGTGTCTCACTCAATTCCAATTAAACATTCCCCTCTCATTCACCAAGACTGACTCGAACTCCATCTTTCAGTAGAGAATCAGACTGCTCCAAGAAACAGCAGCAGAACTTGAAACAGAACAAGCGGGAGAACCTCACTTTCACTTCTGTAGGGTCGCTCCCAGGCGATTACAGTCTTCTGAAAGGCAGTGGGGTCAAAGTTCCATTCATTTGACAAATTTGTTATATTTAAGCTCTAAATTGAGCTGTTGTGGCAACATAATTTATGAATTACAGGATCTAGTTAGGATTATTGGGAAGGTGTCTACATATATATGTGTATGTAAGGGGAAAAAGGTAGAATTTGCAGCCTTTAAAAGAGAAAAATCAAATGCCAAGCATGGGAAGAGGAAAGCACCATGGCAGTTGCTCAGATAACAGAAAATGATCAGGGGAAATACTGAGTAAATAGATACACACATACCGTCACACAACCTCTCTCACACACACATCTCAAACCCCATTCTCTCTAATAGTTTAAAGGCAATGGTGTTGCTCATCTGTTAAAGTTGAGAATATAGGACTACCTAACTTAAGATAGAAGTTGCAAAGCCTGGGCCAGGCACAGTGGCTCACGCCTGTAATCCCAGCACTTTGGGAGGCTGAAGCAGGCAGATCACAAGGTCAGGAGTTTGAGACCAGCCTTGCCAATGTGGTGAAACCACGTCTCTACTAAAAATACAAAAATTAGCTGTAGTTCCAGCTACTCGGGAGGCCAAGGCAGAAGAATTGCTTGAACCCAAGAGGCGGAGGTTGCATTGAGCCAGGATTGGGCGAAAGAGCAAGACTCCTTCTCAAAAAGAAATTGTAAAGGCTGGCACCTAGATAGATCAATTAGTGCCCCAATCAAAACTTAGAAACACTCAGAACCACCTTTAGGAAGGTACATCATTGTTTTGTGGTAACAATGGCTACTACACACAAAAGGTAAGGCAGCTGGCATCAATGAATTTGATTAGAATTATGTTGACATAGCCAAGCTACTTTTTCTGTTTCCTTGTGTGGTCAATTCCTTATGCCTATAATCAATATCAAAAACCAAATTTGTGCTCATTCACACATTGCCTTCTCCTTCTCTCTCTCCAGTAAAAGGCCTGGGACTGGGGTTTTGATCTCTGGTGGGAGGGTTGCCTTGGTTCCCTGGGGTTGACACAGCTGCCTTGACCCAGTCATCTCAGCTCCCCAGGAGGGGCTTGTCCTCACCTGAGTCACCCGCCTCCCTTGACCCGAGAGCCCCTGTCTCAGCTCAGGGTGGGGGGCTTGAAAGATGACTGGGCAGGGAAGGGGAAGGGATCTCATATCCTCTGATATCCCTGGGATCCTCTTNTCTCAGCTCAGGGTGGGGGGCTTGAAAGATGACTGGGCAGGGAAGGGGAAGGGATCTCATATCCTCTGATATCCCTGGGATCCTCTTCTTCACCTTCAGCACACAGATTAAATCACAAATGCAGATGTTCAGGGCCAGCCTTTGCGTGAGTGGTATTTAACATGTCAGTTCACTGCAGTGGGCTGCGCCCCAGGCTTTTCTTTCTCTCTTGTTGAAGAGAGATGGGGGTGGGTATCTGAAAGCGGGAAGGGCTCTGGTACATGATCCTAAGTGAGGGAAGAGGAGGTGATTCCACTGTGGCAGTAGAGCATGAAGGGAAGGCTTTTTTCTGTCACCTGGGCAAGGACACGAAGGTGAGACCTACACCAGTTGGTGGGAGCCAAGCTTAGCAGCTCCCTCTGGGAACCCTTACACCTGAGACCAGGAATCTGTGTGTAAACCCTTCCCAGTGATGGAGCGTGGCAGAAATGGAGCCAATAAGTGTCTGTCTTCCTGCTGGACCGCTGCTCTGGAAGGTAGTACTGCCTCCTGGTCTCCTCACTGTCCCCAGGGCTCAGCACAGGGAAGGCAATGGAGCTAACGTTGTGTTGAACTGAGTTACAGGAAAGGCATTGGGTTTCTGTGCTGCTCAGTGGTTATAAAAGGAAGCAGACCCTCACCCGCCTTGCAGGGGTAAGAAGAAAAATAGGCCATCTTGGTAGAATCCATGTGGTGTGTGTTCTACATGAGCACATTCTTACTTTCGCCTGCCTAGATGCAGATATGGGTTTTTTGTTTTTTTGTTTATTTTTTAGACAGGGTCTTACTCTGTCGCCAGGTGCCAGGCTGGAGTGCAGTGGCGCAATCTCAGCTCACTGCAATCTCTGCCTGCTGGGTTCAAGCAATTCTCCTGCCTCAGCCTCCCGAATAGCTGGGACCACAGGCGCGCACCACCACTCCCAGCTAATTTTTTTTAATTTTTTTATTTTTAGTAGAGACGGGAGTTTCACCATGTTGGTCAGGCTGGTCTCGAACTCCTGACCTCGTGATCCGGCTGCCTCGGCCTCCCAAAGTGCTGGGATTACAGGTGTAAGCCACTGTGCCCAGCCGCCTTTTGTTTTCTTAATGCTCTCTTTGGATGTTTTTAATTTTGATAGAGTCCAGTTTTTCTCCTCTCTGTGGTTTTTTTGTTTGAGATGGAGTTTTCCTTTTGTTGGCCGGATTGGAGTGCAATGGTGCAATCTCTGCTCACCGCAACCTCCCTCTCCCAGGTTCAAGTGATTCTCCTGCCTCAGCCCTGCCTCCCCCAGTAGCTGGGACTACAGGTACATGCCGCCATGCCCAGCTAGTTTTTTGCATTTTAGTAGAGACAGAGTTTCACTGTGTTGCCCAGGCTGGTCTCAAACTCCTGACCTCAGGTGATCACCCGCCTTGGCTCCCCAAAGTGCTGGGATTACAGGCATGAGCCACCACGGCTGGCCTCCTCTCTGTTCTTTAGATAGATAGGATGATGATGATTTATCTTTCAAGTACACCAATCTTTTTTTCTGTCTCCTCTCCAGTCTGTAGCTAAGTGCATCCAGTGAAATTTTTATTGCACACTTTGTACCTTTCATGTCTAGAATTTCCATTTCGTTCTTTTTTTCTTGCTCTTTCTTTTNTCGTGATCCGCCCGCTTTGGCCTCCCAAAGTGCTGGGATTACAGGCGTGAGCCACCACACCCCGCCTGCAGATATGGGTTTCTTTTACTTCAAGAGTTGTGGTACCTTTTTGTAGACTATGGCTTATTGATTCTTAACTATTCCAAGTTAATAGTTAATAGTTAGCTATCAAGCAATATTAAATATGTTCTTGATGACATTAAAGAGTTAATTTGCATGGAGGGGTAATCCATCATTGTCTCCATCAGTCTGGGCCGCTACAGTGGAAAACCATAGACCAGGGGGGCTTCAACAACAGAAATGTATTTCTCACAGTTCCAGAGGCTGGGAAGTCCAAGACCAGGCACAGCATGGTTGGGTTCTGGGGAGACCCCACTGCCTGGTTTGCAATGGCCGCCTTCTTGCTGTGTTCTCACATGGTAGAGCAAGAGATCATCTTTCTGGGTTTTCTTCTTCTAAGGACACTAATCCCATTCAACCCTCATGACCTAATACCTCCCAAAGTCCTCACCTTCTACCATCACACTGGGGATTAGGCCTCAACATTTTGAGACTTGTGGGGACACAAACATTCCATCCATAGCAATTCTATTCTGTCTTACTTTACACCCACTAGTTAACTGGGCAGCAGAATCCGGGGCAGTGAGTGACAAGATAGCTGGAAGCATCCTGATAGCTAAAGTTCTTTCAGTGCTTCAGATGTGGTGTGCTGGCCACCTTGTTAAGCATTCTTTCGCCATGTGTGTGTAGGCCCGCATTACACTGAGTCCCATCTTACATGAGGAAACGGAGGCTCACCATGTTATGTGACAAGGCCAAGCCCATGCAGCCAGTGAGTGGCTGCCCCAGGAGTCTCAAGCGGGTCTGTGTGGCTCCAAAGCTCTGCTCAGAACCGCCCTGCCCCACTTCCTCCCAGAGCAGCTTGACTGAATGGCCTTGCCACATCCGACCTCATGCAGCTTGCAGCCCCACCCTCATCAGTCAAGTAGCCTGTATTTTAAAAAATATATGTTTAAATAAAGTATTCCAAATCTGATCTTTGTCCTCCCTTTTTATTTCCGGCAGTGAGAATAGGACCCATCTACGTCACGCAGCACCATCATTTGCAAAGGTCTTTATTCCAACCCTTGGTATTTAAAGCATAATTCCAAAGGCTGATTGCATGTAAATTGGCAGAGATGGAATTTAATGTTATAAAAAGCTTGAGAAATATTCCCTTTTACTTTTTTTAATTAAAATTTTATTGAGATAGGGCTTTGCTCCGTCACCCACAATGGAGTGTAGTGGTGTGATCATGGCTCACTGCAGCCTCCACTTCCAGAGCTCCAGCGATCCTCCCACCTCAACCTCCCAAGTAGCTGGGACTACAGATGCACGCCACCACTCTTGGCTAATTTTGAAATTTGTTGTAGAGATGGAGTCTTGCTATGTTGTCCAGGCTGGTTTTGAACTCCTGGGCTCAAGGGATCCTCCTATCTTGGCCTCCTGGAGTGCTGAGATTATAGGTGTGAGCCACTGTGCCCAGCCAATATTCTCTTTCTCTTGTTTTTTTTTTTCGTTTCTTTTTTTTGAGGTGGAATTTTGCTTTTGTTGCCCAGGCTGGAGTGCGATGGTGCAATCTCGGCTCACTGCAACCTCTGCCTCCTGGGTTCAAGTGATTCTCCTGCCTAAGCATCCCAAGTAGCTGAGATTACAGGCTTGTTCCACCATGCCCAGCTAATTTTGTATTTTTAGTAGAAATGGAGTTTCACCATGTTGGTCAGGCTGGTCTCGAACTCCTGACGGCAGGTCCACCTGCCTTGGCCTTCCAAAGTGTTGAGATTACAGGCGTGAGCCACTGCACCTGGCCAATATTCTCTTTCTCTTGTCTCACTTTTCCACCCCTCAGGTTTCAGGTATTTCCTTTGAATAAGGGAGTGACAGGGAA